TAATAGCCGTTTATATCGGTGATCGTACTAATCATTTTATAAATCTCATAGTGGAGGGGCATCCAAGTTAACTTTGTATGATCCATCTGTATAATTTTCTGGATAGCCAAGCTGTTTTTAGTACTCGCTTTGTTGACGGAAGCAGCTTAAGACTTGTGATGATTGAAATACAATGTTTATATTTTACTCTTGCAACTGACTTAATGTTGGCAATTCCACTCGAACATAGCCAAAGTACACAACATGTATAAAATAGAAAACAGTGTTCTTAAAACATTTAGTACTGAATTTTCAGACCCCAAGAAAGTACAGCACATTTCCCGTGAAAACTAGAGAGATATTAGATAGACACAAAACAAAACATGTTACTAAATGCTAAGCATCATGTATAGATATTCCTTGAACCTCGGAACATTTGTCATGGTGGCATTAATGTCCGACCGCAGGATTGGTCCGGTTCAACGGTTTCCGTTCTACTTTGACCGGCCCTGGGTTAGACTGCTCTGGAAGGTGGGGCCTCGCCAAATTTGAGTAGGTAAGCCGTTTCATAGACAGGACGGAGTTGCCGGATCACTTGAGCATCTAAATAGGCGTCGCAGGAGAAGCACCAAACTGATAAATCACTGTTTTCCAAACCCCACAAGGAAAGATAACAAGACAAATAAATTCAAACCTTCCACACAGAGAGAGAGAGAGAGAGAGAGAATTCTAAAGAAATGGGTAATTAGATGGTTACCTGTAGCTAAGTGCCAAGGAATGACTTGTATTGTGATAATGGTTGAGCATATGCTTGTTAACAAAACGGCTACACAGAACCTCTTTGCAGCATAAACAGAGCCAATTCTCATCTGGGTGCTCACAACTTTTAAAAAATAAATAAATAAATTTGTGATTGCTAAAAGAAGAGATGGTTCATAAGCGTCGTAAATAACTAAATATCAAAGTTGTAAGGAAAAGTTAAAAATTAAGAACTGCTTACATGTGGCAAGGAGTATCTGGTGTGGGAATGTGAGTGAGATCAGACGACAGGGAAGACAAGTGATCGCAGGAGGTACGAGCCTCTACCCAACCTGACTCACCTCCATATATCAATTCTTCTTCTCCTTCTTCTGTGGGGGGATTTTCCTGATGAATATGATTGAGAAAAGCTTATTAGAGATTAAGAAAAAACAACATATTTGTGTATATATGTATATGTATGTATAAAGAGGTGATTTTGGGTGTGTTACCGGAGGGGCAGAGGATGAGCCGGCACGGTTGGCCATGGAGAGAGATTAACAAAGGATTTTGGAGAGAGGCTCTAGTGTGTATCTCAGAATTGGGAAGCGGTGGAGAAATAACGACAAAGAATCGCCGTTTATGTATTCGTCAAAGGCCTGGGTCAGCATTCAGAATCGATGTGGTTTTATGCATCACAAATCACTGTTCTACCTGTCGAAATTTTAGGATTTTCGGCACAATTGTCTCTCCAAACATGTGATTGTTTAGCAAATTGCCCTTAAATTTTTAAGTTTGATAGTCAACTCAGTGTATTTATGAAATTGTTGTAATGTGTTTTTGCTTAAATTTTTATTATATTTAAAGAATTGAAAGGTGAGGAATTGAAAATTTTGTGTTACATTTGAGTTGGGATTTTAGAATTTTTCGTTAAATGTATGTTCTCAACACTAAAAAATTTACGTTTAGTATGGGGTAATATTTTGATGATAATGGAAATCTTCTCATATTTTCACGTTTGGTATAAAAATTGTAATTTTTACATTCTCGAGAAAGTACATCTCATAGGATTAGTTTTACATCAGATAGAAAAAAAAGTAATGCAGTGACATCTCTTTTTATTTGAATATGTTGAAAACAAACGGATAAAAATTATGGGTGCATTTGGAATTGTTTCCAAAACATTTTTATTTTCTGTACGAAAATGAAAATGAAAACGTTTTCATTTTTATTTTTGAATTATT